GTTCTAGAAATTGTAGAATGAGCAGATTTACTAATTCAATGCAATTGACGATCATTAGCTACAAGACATCCCCATGCATATCCACACACAGGGTGTATTACAAAATGCTGACAAACCCAGCAAGGCCAACATCTGCATCCCATCATAAAGCTAGATATTGTTACTACTTAAGAGTCCTCCCCAGAGGGGCTGGGAAGGTAGCTCAGTGGTAGAGTGCTTGCCTTGCATGCATGAGGCCCTGTGTTTGATTCCTCAGCACCACATAAGAAGAAAAGGCCAGAAGTGGTGCTGTGGCTCAAGTAGCAGAGCACTAGCCTTGAGCTGAATTGCTGAGAGACAGTGTTCAGGCCCAGAGTTCAGGCCCCACGACTGGCCCATCTTCAGCCCAGCTCTCCTTCATCCTACACATAGCCAGCCCACCCTGGTTTCAGGATTAGGAGAAAATGAAACAAAAAGGTTTTGAATTTGAAAGGGGAAATTGGACTCTTAATCTCTTTCTATTCTCAGGAAGTTGTCACCGAAGTTCATTGTATGGTTTAACCACTAGAGCTCTCTATACAGGTAAATGTTCCTCATCATGTAAGTTGGAGACTCCTCTCTTTTCTGATTCTACCTGTCAGACATTTTCCCAGCCTGAGTAATGTCACAAAGGAGAGGGGACCAGAAGCATCAGCCCTCTGTTGAACAGGTAGATGTGCTGGCCCAACCTAGGCTTTGATCTGCTTGGTAACTGGGGCAACTATTCTTACTTTCTTCTTTGGATTTTAAAAGTTACTTCTTTTTTTTTGTCAGTTGTAAGGCTTGAACTCACGGTCTGAGCACTAGCCCTGGGCATTTTTGCTCAAGGATAGTGCTCTACCATTTTGAACCACAGCGCACTTCCAATTTTCTGGTTGTTAATTTGAGATAAGAATCTCACAGATTTCCCTGCCTGGGATTGGCTTTAAAGCACAATCCTCAGATCTCAGCCTCTTGTGTAGCTAGGATTACAGGCATGAGCCACTGGCGCCTGGCTTAAAAGTTACTTTTGAGAAGAATATTAAATTTGGAGGGAATAAGCCTTGTATATAAGATGAAATACAAACATCACAGTCATAATCTAGTGATACGTGTTGAGAGATTCCACCATTTAAAAAGTCTCTTTGAAAAATGATCCAGTTAAAATTGGCAAAGGACTTGAATGGATATTTCTCCAAAGAAGATATACCAATGAGCACAGGAAAAGAAGCTCCACAGCTCTCATCATTAGGAAAATGCAAATCTGAGCATCCAGGGTGACAGCCATGGACAGGAAAATGCAAATCATAAGCACAATGGGATACCACTTCCTATCCATTAAGATGGCTATTATCAAAAACAAACAAAACTCAGAAAATAGTGTCAGTAGGAAAACCAGAACCTTGTGTACTGCTAGTGGCCTTGTAAAATGGTGTAGCTGTTAGCTCAGGGAAACTGTATAGAGCTCCTCCAAAAAAAACTTAAACAGTTGAGCACTAGTGGCTTATACCTGTACTCCTAGATATGCAGTAGGATGAGATATGAGGATCACCATTCAAAGCCAGCCCATTCAGGAAAATCTTTGAGACTCTTGTCTCCAATTAACCACCAAAAAAGCTAGAAGTGGAGCTGTGGCTCAAGTGATAGAATGCTAGCCTTGAGCACAAAAGCTCAGGGACAGCAACCAGGCCCTGGGTTCAAGCCCCAAGACCAGCACTGAAAAAAAAAAAAGAAAATTAAAAAATAAATATAAAATTACTATGTTCCAACGATTCTGGGTACTCCAAATACAAGGACTCTTAACAGTTATCTGTATACCTGTATTTACAGGATTATTATTTATAGCCAAAACAATAGTCCAAGTATCCACTGAATGATGAATGAATAAACCTATGGTGTTGACATACAATGGAACATTATTCTGCTTTAGAAAAGAGAAATTCTGACACATGCTATATGGGTGAGCCTTGAGGACATTATACTAAATGACTATCATCAAAGGGAAAATATTCTGTGATTCTACTTATGTGAGAAACTTAGTGAAATTCATAGAGACAAAAGTGGGTGATGATGAGAATGGGAAGTTTATTTTTTTTGTTTTTTTTTTTAATCTACAGAGTTTCTGTTTCACAAGGCTGAGTTTGGTGGATAAATGGTCATGACAAAACCATATCTAATATCACAGAATTAAATGCTTAAAAATAGGTAAAATGGAAAATTATGTGCTATGAGTACTTTTCGTAATAAAAATCTCCTCCACCCTTGAAAGCAGAAGCAAAGATCAAGAATAGGCTAACTTTTCCTTATGCCACTAAGAAAGAAGAAAAAAAATGACACCTGAGAATTTCCTATTCACCAGACACTCACCTATTCACATACAAAAGCAAGAGTCAAACAAAACCAAAACCTTGATGATAGCTGCCTCTCTCTTCTTTGCAATGAACAAATGAAGATTCATAAATTAATGTACCAGGTCAAGTAGTAGGAATGGGTGGCAATAGTCAGAGATGTACCAGCCTCTGCAGCCTGTGTTCTTTCATTCATGGTGTCCTTTCCTCAGAAATCATTTGTGAACAGGCTTTTAGACTTAAAAGTTGGACTTGCTTTCTAAGTAGATTAAAGAAGTCAGTCAACCAAACACATTCAGTACATGCTTACCATATGAGGCCCAGAGCTGGCCATGAAATAATGGAGTCATGTTTCCATTCAGTCATTGGCCATATGGTGGGGGGGAGGGGAGACAGGGGGAGAGGGGGATGGAACAAGAACATACAATTAAATTTTCAGTGTTGATTGCCTCCACAAAAAGCCTCTGAATACCCTGAGCAAAAGCATAATAATATCATTCAATATTCCATATGGCCAGAATGAGTGCACATAGTTTTATTTTGCAGCATAGGAGTAAATTCATCTTTTTCCTAAACATTCTACCATTGTTAGACCTGCTGTTATTCATGTTCTGCTTCAAGCTGGAGTTCAGCAATTAAGGAAATGTTTTGTGCTATACAGAAAGCAGGCACCTCTTTTTGTTGCTTTTAAAAAAACAGGGGCCCCTCTTGATTCTATGAAGCTTATGCACCAAGGTTTCATTTTCTTACTCTGGTATGAAACACACACACACACACACACACACACACTGAGTAATATATATTTTCTATACATACCCAAACAAAGCAGGATGTTGGCATTATCTACTGCCTAAGACCGATCAATATCAAAGCCCTGTCCTCATTCTTCAGCCCAGATTCATAACTTCTTACTGCATTTAGTGGCATGCAGCTTGACTGCAGGACTCTCAGATCTACCCCAGGTCTCCTATCTATGAAGATTAGCTTTACATATTTTCCTTTAGGATAGGAACTGTGATATCATGACATGACTTGCTTTGCCCATCTGTTTGTTGAAATTCACTGAATCCTTTAGATGAGCACCATGCTTTTAATACCAGTAATACTTTGTTTCTGTGATAAGGTACAGGTTTACTCTAATCAGCAATAGCCTCAGAAAAAGCAGACAGGTTTTTCTTTAATATCAATAAAATCTCTGTCTCCAAAAATGTGCTGCTAGTCCACAAATTCAGAAGAGCTAAATCAACTTCATTAAAATGGAAATAATAACAATAACAACAACAACAACAATAATAAATCCGTAAGTAAACAGCCTTGCAGCTCTTCATATGGGAATGGTGATCATTATCTGGGACACATGCACATTCATAATTGGGTGTAATATTTGGTTGTGAAAAACTTGTATTTTAAGAATGCATGAGTGGTTCAATATGCCATTTTATTGTTCTAGATTCATTAAAAACAACTCATTCTTTTTTTAAAAAACAAACAAACACCTATCATCTTTCATTATAAAATGCCAAGAAAACCCCTTTTTCAATGACTGCTTTGCTTAACCATACTTTGTGTTGAACATACAAAGACTGAATTTAAAAAAAATCCTGCCACACTAGGGTATTAGACTGCTTCTCCTACATATCCTGCCAAAGAAATCTTACACTCTCATTTCTTGCTCTGAGACCTATTTACTGCACTTTTACATATCATTCACAAATACGAACTAGTCCTAGGCTCTCATTGATAGCACCCACTGCTCAGGAAAATTAATGAATAAAAGAGATAGTTTGATTGTTTAACTTCAGTCAATGGCATGTACAGGTAAGGAAACAACAATGTTCACTTTTATATTTTAGCTCTGTCTGAAATTAACGTCCACATTGACCTAGAGATGAAGAAACCCCTAACATAAAACATAAAATCCATACATAGGGCAGTCAGGGTTTCTGGACAAGTTTCTGTTCCTAACCCCTTGGCACTCCTTTGAAGGAAGATGCAACTTTAAGATAAGACCGAGTGGCAAAGGGTAGCTGATTTTGCACAGAGCACAGAGGAGGAGATAGACAGGGACACCAGTTTCTTAATGGTAAATACTGCTTCTTAACATACGCAATTCCAGCCTTTGTTGGCAATATCTGAGCACAAAAGGATTTAATACTATTCCCCCAAGTAGCCAAATCACAGTCATCATGTGGGCAAAGCAAAAAAGACAACCCAGTGTAACCATCGATTAGAAAGAGAAGGCATTTCCCATTTCCCAATACTTGCCCCCCTAAACGAGGGGTTGCAACCCCAAGATGCCCAGATCACAGCTTCACAGCCCCATTCAACTCCCTCTGGCTTTTCTTCCCAACTATGCAAACCCTTTCTTGCATTCAGTATGTCTTCCTGGCCAGTCACTAAAACTAAGCACCGAGATTTTGGGGGAGTGGGGTGTGTGTGTGGGGGGGAAATGTGTCATGAATTTGTCCATCATTCTTCAAATCCCTTGTTAAAAGAATCCTTCCTACTTATTTCCCCCAATCCTGAAGCAATGTACCTTGCTTTCCCCCGCCGCCCCCCCCCCCACTACCCAAATTTACCTCACAAGCCCAGGCACGGGTGATTTTTTTTCCTTCTCTTTCTGTTAATAAGCAATGTGGAAAACGTGTCCCTTACCTTGGCTGATCAGAAGCTTGGGCAGGAACTGCTTCCCCTGTCTCTCTCGAACTGGTCTGTGCAGCAGCCTGGCGCCGCCCGCCCAACCCAGCCCAGCCCAGCCCAGCAGTAGTAGGAGTTGCCCACGGAGGGAGCAAGAGGCAGCAGCAGCAGCAGCAGCAGCAGCAGCAGCAGCAGCAGCAGCGTCGTCGTGTGTTTGTGTAGCAGCGGCCGTAGCCCAGGGACTAGTCTCCACCCAGCTTTGTCTTCATGGTTCTAGCTACAGGAAGCAGCGCATCTCCCACTTCCTCCTCTTCTTAGTAGCCGTGAGCAGCTTTCTTCAATTTCTTCTCATGCCAGCTCAGGGTTTTACTCTAATGGATTTGCCTGCTCCTGGGATCCTGAGGGTCCTTTGACTAATCCCTCGACCCCTTTGTTCCAGGGTCTCTGGTGCTGTCTGTGGCTTCCTCCCTCCTCCTCAGTCCCCTCCCAACCTGCCACACTGTCTCAGTGGGCCCCCTTCCTGACACCTAAGCTGCTTTACTGCCTTATTCTGAACTCTAGGCTGCTTGTTTGTTGTTCCTGCTGTGTTGTTTTGTTTTTTAACGGGCCAAGTGGTGGCCCTGAGATCCAGCACCTGCCTCCACTGCCCCTCCTGATGGATGCTGATTTCTAGCCTCACTGGAGATGAGAGCTTGCGGCTTCTTGCCGCAGCTCTTGGCTCGGTGACCAACTTTGCAGGCACTTCCTTTCTCCAAAGTCCCACTAGCCACTGAAACTTTGCTTAACCCAGATGCTTGAAAAAGAATGGCCATGGCAAGGATCCTTCTGGGGCACAGAGCTGAGCCAAGTCCTGCAATGCTACTATAAGCCTAATGGGGAAGATCTATTCCCCAGAGTCTCCTAGATGAGAGGAAGTGATAGTGTTGAATGTGGTGGATTTCCAGACCAGACGCAGCCCCCTCCTCTACTAACAGAGTCCTCTAGCCTCTTCATTTCATTTATCATTCATTCATTCCTTCATTCATTCCTTCATTCCTTCCTTCATTCAGTGTTGGTACTGAAGATTGAACCCAAAGCCAGGGTGCTTTCCTGCAGCATTTTTGCTCAAGGTTGGAGCTCCTCTACTTGAGCCACACCTCCACTTCTAGCTTAATTGTTGATGAGTCTAGTCTCTAGCTAGGATTACAGGTGTAAGCCACCAACACCTGACTCTTCCTTTCCTTCATTTTAGAAGGTGGTATAGTGTCATGAATAAGGGAAAAGGTACAAGGTGGTCTGCCTACCAGAGGTTTGATTCTGAGCTGTCATTCCTGACTGCATGAACTTGGACAAATTACTTAATTTGTACATGCCTCAATTCCCTTCATATGCAAAGCAGAGATGATTATAGTCATAACTCCACAGTGGAAACCTGAGAACCAAATAAAACCGGACACAAGGTCTAATAATAGTTCCGGGAACATAGGAAGTATTCATCACATATTATTCAACACAGTATTATTTTTAGAGGTTGAAGCTCAGAGATGACAAGCTACTTGGGTACTCAGTGGCCAAACCAAGACCAGAGCTTGCTTTTCCAACTCCTTCCCCCCCCCCCCCGCCCCGCGACCGTTTTATGTTCATGGCTAAACCCCAATAGTTCTTGGTAGCCATAACAACTTGTCCAATCTGTGAATCTTTCTTCTCTGGTTCCAACAAGGTACTTTCAAAAAGCTACAGATTGAACACAGGATCAGGGAAGAGCATCCTTGTTCTGGAGACCAGGTAACACTGTGAGATCTGTACTCAGAACCAGTGCCTACACAACCAGCTTTCCCAGGCACAGTTCATTCCCAACTCCACTTTTTAAACCACATTTTGCCTTAATCATCCATTGAATAAACTGACCTAGAACTATGGCGTGATAACTCACCAAACAATCCTTCCCAACACATATTGGGGATCATAGGTCATTATACATAACCACCAGGTATAGAATTTGATTTCTATGAAATGTTCTAAGACAGTCCCTGGATAGCATTTGTGTTGAGATGATGTTCCGTGAACAAACTTTGCTTATTTTCCCCCCTGGAAATCTTTCAATGAAAAGGATTCTGATGTCAATCCTCTAACACCTGAAAATTGCAAAACGGATAGTTCTAAGATGAAAACAAAAGAACTACCTTAGCAAGAGGTCTGGGCAGATATCCAATGTAATATGAGTTACCATCAACTCAAGGAATATGCCCAGCTGTACCTGTAATCCCATTTCTCAGGAGGCAAAGGCAAGAGGGTCACAAGTTCAAGTCCAGCCTAGGCTACAAAGTGAGACTCTTATATTAAAAAACAAAACAAGAGGGGCTGGGAATGTGGCTCAGGGGTAGAGTGCTTGCCTAGCATGTATAAAGCCCTAGGTTCTATTCCTCAGTACAGCATAAGCAGAAAAAGCTGGAAGTGGCACTGTGGCTCAAGTGGTAGAGCTCTAGGCTTGAATAAAAGAAGCTCAGAGACAGTGCCCAGGCCCTGAGTTCAAGACCCATAACTGGCTAAAAGAAACAAACAAAAATTCACTAGAGGGCTGGGAAACAGGCTCAGTGGTAGAGCGCTTGCCTTACATGCATGAGGTCCTGGGTTCGATTCCTCAGCACCATACAAGCAAAAAGAAAAAAGCCAGAAATGGTGCTGTATCTCAAGTGGTAGAGCACTAGCCTTGAGCTGAAGAGCTGAGGGACAACGCCCAGGCCCAGAGTTCAGGCCCCATGACTGGACCCCTCCAAAAAAAAAAATTCACTAGAATACTGGTGGCAAATGTTATAGTATCTTTTAAAAGTAATTTACATCTAAGAATGAGTAGCTTGTTATTAATGATTGGAAAGATGATGGAAATACCTTTGGTCATTTTAGACCAGTAGACCCTAACATTAATTATGGATTCAAGTATGTGTGTGTATGTGTGTATAATATGGCTCTCACATTAATTATCTCCCTTTTAACCTTCAGAAAATGGTTGATACTTATATGTAATCTTATATGGGGAACCTCTTTCAAATAATAAAATCACTAGGAACTTGTCCTACTGCCTTCTAATCTACTTTTTAATCTCTGGTCATAAAAAGCACAGTAGACTAGTCTGGCCATTACTGAGAGGTGACAAACCAACTCTTTTCTAAGCTAAAAACTACATTTTAAGATCTTTCCCTCCTTGTCATTTATCTCATTGCTTTCTATTGGTCCTAATGGTCCTAAAAACCTCTTTTCCAGTCAAGTGAAAGGGTATAGATTGACCAGGAGAAAAGATGAGTCTAATTTAGAACTATTAATACAAGCATAGTGAATGCTCATCTCAAGTCTACAAAATATTCATATCTTAGAAAATTATGGCATTCATGGAGTGGGAGAAGAGCTTCCTTCACTAGCCATACAATGGACAAGGGTCTCCTATCTAAAATATACTTAGAACTCAAAAAATTAAATCCCCCAACAACAAATCCCCAAAGAAACAACCACCCAATTAATAAGTGGGCTAAAGACTTAAAGAGACACTTCTCTGAAGAAGAAATAAGAATGGCCAATAGACACATGAAGAAATGCTCAACTTCTCTAGCCAGAAATGCAAACCAAAACAACATTGAGATTCCACCTCACCCCACTTTAGAATGGCTAGAATCAAGAAATTGAATAGCAACAGATGCTGGAGGGGATGTAGCCAAAGGGAACCCTTACTGCATTGTTGGTGGGAATGTAACCTTGTTAGACACTTTGGAAAGCAGTATGGAGGGTCCTCAAAAGACTCCACATAGAGCTCCCCTATGATCCAGCAATCCCACTTTTGGGCATTTACCCAGATGATCACAAACATGGCCATACTAAAGCTACCAGAACATCAATGTTTATTGCAGCATTATTTACCATAGCTAAGATATAGAACCAACCCAGATGCCCCATTTGTTAGGAAATATAAAGACTTGGAAAAAATCATATTAAGTGAAGTAAGCCAGACCCAATGAAACAGGTCCCATGGCTTCCCTTGTTTGCAATAACTAGTGTACAAGCAGAAAAGGTCAAAGATCAGATAAGATGATGCTAAGCAAAATGAACCCCAAGATAGTGACACGAGAGTTTTTTTCTTTGTTGCTGTTGGTTTTAGTATACTTTTAATGTACTGTGTGATTTTTTTTGTTTCTTTTCTATGTTCTTCATCCATGGTATAACTCTTATTGTCACTGTATTTGATTCTGGTGCCCTGCATCTTGTTTATATATTTTTATAATTTGGGGAGGGAAAGGGAAATAACAAAATGCTGAAACGAGGATACAGGTTGACCCATTGTAACAATGAGATGTACAAGGCACTATGTTGTAAACAAACTTTACAGCTTTGCGGAGAGGGGAGGGACAGAGGAATTGGGGAAGTGGGGAGGGAAGGGATGGTAGGGAAAAACAAAGGAGAGGGCAACAATGCTTAATAGGAAATGTACTCATTACCTTACTCATGTAACTGTACCCCTTTGTACAGCATCCTTACAATAAAAAAGAAAATGATGGCATTTCATCTTGCCATGAAAAGTTGATGACATCAGTTACTAGACACAAGCCTATCCTACACATACATTTGATTGCTGCAGAGACAAAAGTTTGGGAAAGTACACAAACATTCATCAGAGGCCCTTTGTGCAACCATCAATACCTTGCTGCATTTTTTTCTTTTTGCTGGTCATGGGACTTGAACTGTGGGCCTGGGCGCTGTCCCTCAGCTCTTCAGCTCAAGGCTAGTGCTCTACCACTGAACCACAGTACCACTTCTGGTTTTCTGGTGGTTAACTGGAAACAAGAGTCTCACAGACTTTTGTGCCGGGGCTGGATTTGAACAGTGATCCTCAGATCTCAGCCTACTGAATAGCTAGGATTACAAGCGTGAGCCACCAGCTCCTGCCCTTTGCTTCATTTTTAACATCTCTCTGCTAAAGGAGGTTGATAAGCAGAACAAGGAAATAATTCAGCCTGAGGTCTCTCCTCTGTTATGGAGTGTTCCTTGGAGTTCTTACTTTCCATGTTCCCCAAGTTACCTGCGTTACTTAGATCCAAAGCCTGCTCCTCTTTCTGTATTCTCCATTTTATTTAATGAAACACAAAAGGCAGTTGTCCACAGCAGTAACCACAGAATGATCTTAGAACCTTTTATCTTTGCAAACGCACTTTGATTTATAAGAGTGCTCATCCTTCCATTACCACCTCCAAATGATCTCTTTGCCCAAGCCTTGCCTCCCTCTTATCCTTG